ACTCACTCATCCTTGTTCGTTGTCCAAAGTTGCATGCAGATGAAGCCATTGAAAATATCGTGACTTGGGTCAGGCACACGTTAGTCCTCAAAGTGACAACTTTGTTTTTCAATACTTTAAAGATAAAAATATATGTATGTGTGTGTGTGTGTGTGTGTGTGTATATATATATATATCAGATTTGCCTAATGCAATACGTTGTTTGATGTTTTGACTGCTGCTTCCATAGACATTGATTGTGGACCATAGACATTGATTGTGGATCTGGGTAAAATGACATCCTTAACAACTTCACACTTTTCTCTGTTTATCATGATTTTGCTTATGGTCTGGTTGTGAGGCTTTTTGTTTTCTTTATGTTGAGATGTAATCCATACTGAAGACTATAGTCTTTGATCTTCATCAAGAAGTGATTCACGTCCTCTTCACTTTCAGCAAGCAAGGTTGTGGCATCTGCATACTGAAGGTTGTTAATGAGCCTTTCTCAAATCCGGATGCCATGTTCTTCTTCATAAAGTCCACCTTCTTGGTTCATTTGCTCAGCATACAGATTGAATATTTGACTATTTCAGGAGATGGCATATGATCAAGAACTAAGGGTATTGAAAGAAAAGTCCAAGCTGCACTGACAGAATTGACAAAAACAAGGCTCCGGGAATTGATGAAATACCAATTGAGATGTTTCAGCAAATGGATACAATGCTGGAAGTGCCCCCTGGTCTATGCCAAGAAATTTGGAAGACACTACCTGACCATCCAACTGGAAGAGATCCATATTGGTGCCCATTTTAAAGAAAGGTGATCCAGCAAAATGCAGAAATTAGTGAACAACATCATTAATATCACATGCAAGTTAAGTTTTGTTGACAATACGAAAATGGTGGCCATAGTACATTGACAGGGAACTGCCAGAAATTCAAGCTGGATTCAGAAGAGGACATGGAACAAGGGTGATGTCGGATGGATCTTGGCTGAAAGCAGAGAACACCAGAAAGATATTTACCTGTGTTACATTGACTTTCGAATGCAAAGGCGTTCAACTGTCTGGATCATAAAAAATTATGGATAACATTGCAAAGAATGGGAATTCCAGAACACTCAGCTGTGTTCACATGGAACCTGCTGTAGACCTGGGGGCTGTAGGTGGACAAGAACCAGGGGGTAGCAGATGTTGGCTGTTAGTACAGGGGTTTTGTGGGTGCCCTTTATCAAGTTGAGGAAGTCCTGTTCCTTGTCTGCTGAGAGCTTTGATCCTGAACACTCTCAGATCAGTGTGGTTAAGGTTGTACATGCGTGTGTGTATGCACGTGTGTGTTCATGAGCATGTGTTCAAGGAAAATAGACCACTTAAAATTTCAAGTTCATTGGTATGAAATAGGTATCTTAATTTGTAATCTCTGATATATTTGTAGCTTTGTTCCCTTTTTTCACTCTTACTGTTAAATTTTTTAAAAAAAATAATTTTATTCATTTGATTTTTATATGTCAGAATACATTTTTATTTTCAAAACAATGGGTTTTGCACCTAGTTTCCTGCGGAAGTAAGGTCTGCTTGATGTGTTTGGCTGCTTGTTTCCGCTGCCTGGTGACGCAAACTGAGCTGCTCCAGGGTCATGTTTGTAACAACGTTTACTGTCAATGTGATAAACCAAACCAAGCCAAACTCAACACCGTCGAGTTGGTTCCGACTCATAGCGACCCCTCTGAGTTTCTGAGGTGGTATCTCTACGGAACTAGGTTGCCTACTCTTCCTTCTGAGGAGTGGCTGGTGGGTTTGAACCCCCAGCCTTCTGGTTAGCAGTCAAATGCCTTAGGCACTACGCCACCAGAGCTTTCTAACAATATCATAGAAAGACTCTAAAAGTGATGCCCCTTCCCGGCCCTTTTCCTGCTGTAAAGTGCTTGTGCTTTTACTTTCAGCTGATTGCATTCGGCTGTAGTTCAAGCTTCATAAGATACTTGCCTCCCGTTTCCCGTCCCTGGAGTGCTGTCAGAACTGCTTCCTCGCCAACGTCATGCTTGAAGCCAGTGCAGGTTTTCTCTGCATCCCTGGGAGACGCGCTGCTTCGACCCTACTGTCACGTTTAGACCATTTTGTACATTTCAGCAGCTTTTTTAGGATGCAAAACCAATTCCACAGTGAAACCAACCAAAACCACTGCCATTGAGTCAATTCCGACTCATTCACACCCTGTAGGGCAGAGTAGTGCTGCCTGTAGGGTTTCCAGGGCTGTAAGTCTTTATGGAAGTAGACTGCCTCATCTTTCTCCCACAGAGTGGCTAGTGGCTTTGAACCACTGACCTTTTGGTTAGCAGCCCAATGCTTAACCACAGCCTCAGTACATAGTAAAGATGGCTTTTATGTGGGTTGTGTTTTCATTAAACCATGTAATTTGTACATTGTGAAGCTTGCTGTTAAGGTTTCCCCTGCCCCATCTTTTGAGTTATTTTTTTCCTGAGAGGAAGTAGGATATGTCCATATCGTCCCACAGGGCCTGAGGCCGCACCTGGTAAGCACTGGAATGTGTTAGCTGTTTATTCTAAGATGACAGTAAATATGACACATCGTCTCAGCCTGTTCAGGCAAGTGTTAGATCGAGTGTGTGTTGGCGCCTCGCTTAGGAAGAACAGTGAAATTCGAGGCCTGTTTGGATTTGTGATTCTGGATGAAAGGACGAAGACCTGTTTTCACTATCTCTTTTCCAGAAATGGAAGCACAGGGAGGGCTGTGACTGCCCGAACACGGAAGCTGGGCTGTGAGCTCTGGCCCTGGTGCCAGCGTGTGCTCGTAACGTCACAGTGGCAGCCTCCAGCGTGCCTTCTTTGATGTGTGCATTGGACAGAATTAGGAATCACCAAGTATCTGTGCTGTTTCACTGTCTTTCTGTTACTGATTTCTGATGCAATGTGCCGATGTTACAGAACAGTCTTTGTGAAATGGTTCTTGAAATTTCCGGGACTTCTTTTATGGTAAGGCGCTCTGGTGGTGTAGTGCCTGAGGCATTTGACTGCTAACGAGAAGGTTGGCAGTTCGAACCCAACAGCCACTCTGTGGAAGGAAGACTGGGCAATCTACTTCTGTAAAGATTTACTGCCTCAGAAACTGAAAGGGGGTTGCTGTGAGTCGGAATCCAGACAGATGGCAGTAAGAGTGTTGGTTTCCTTTGTGGCTGACATGGGAGACAGATGTCTCAGAGCTGTCATTCAATTTGTGTTTGATAAGATGTGGCTGACACTTGAGTCTTTGTTTCTTTTGTTTCAGGTCTGGGGATGGTGACGCCTGTGAATGACCTGCGAGGATCTGACTCAATTGCCTATGACAAAGGGGAGAAGTTACTGCGGTGTAAACTGGCAGCATTTTACAGATTAGCAGATCTCTTTGGATGGTCTCAGCTTATTTATAATCACATCACGGTGAGTGTGGCTGGAGTGGTGTCATCATGAATGGCAGGTGGGACAATGGGGCGGGTCCAACTGTGTGCGTGTCAGTTCTAATTCCTGACTGCAGCAGAATAGCTGAGCAAGGGCCAGGGTGGTTCACAAGTTACGAGAGTGTGGCTTCTTTCAAACTTCCCTTCTCCTGTGTGCTGGCTGGATAAAGGGACGTCTGCCCAACTGCACAGGTCCTAAAATCCTGTCCTATTCTGACCAGAGCCGCCTTCTCTCTGTCTCTCTCTGGTGTCGTCAGCTTACCAGGACCTCGGTTTTCTGAACTTCAGCCTTCCCCCGGTCTTTACTAGGCATCTGCTTTCTCAGTGGCCAGCATGGCTCTAAGGTCTGGGGTGCTGTCAGTGAAAGAAACCGGTCCTGCCCCAGGGCCCCTCTGCGCCCTGACCCATTGTTCACTCCCTCGTTTGTCCCGCTTGCATTTCCCGCTCTGACAGTCCAGTGTCCCCTCTCCCTGCACCTGAGCAGCCGGGGGCTGCTGGAGAGGGGCGGGCCTCCAGCCGAGCTGTGGCACCACAGCGTTGCCTGGCACCCCGCGGGCATCTCTTACCCAGACCTCACGGCATCGAGACTGCCTGTGCATCTCTGGCCTCCCTGCCACCCCAGTAGTAGATGACCTCGTCCCGTCACAGAACACAGGGCTGCCTGCCCACGTGTGTACCGTTCTGTACTCCTGACCTCCTGGTACAATGTCCTGCCTCCTCCCTGTGGCCCACTTTGCCCTCTGGGCCTGCAATAGTCCTGCTTCTCAGGCCCCTTGCTGCATTGGCAGGTGACTTCTTTCTCTGTTTTAATTCTTTTGTGGAGTTTGCCTCTTTCTTTGAACTGCTTCCTTCCTTTGACTTTAAATCTATTCTCCTCTCCTATTTTAAGGTCTAATGTCTTTCACTGGATATTTTAAGTTATTGCTATAAAAACCAAGAAACCAATCTCGCCGCCATCGAGTTGATTCTGACTCAGAGTGACCCCCGTTGGGTTTCCGAGGCTATAGATCTTTACAGAAGTCTGTTGCCCCATCTTCCTTCTGTGGAGCAACTGGTGGATTTGAACCGCTGACCTTCTGGTTAGCAGCCAAATGCCTTATCCACTATGCCATCAAAGCTCTTTAAGTTATTACTGTGTTGTTGTTATATGCTGTCGAGTTTGATCCGACTCATAGCTACCTCTCCTTGGGTTTCTGAGGCAGTATCACTATGGAAGTAGATTGCCCAACCTTCCTTCCGAGGAGTGGCTGGTGGGTTTGAACCGCCAGCCTCTGGTTAGCAGTTAAGTGCCTTAGGCACTACACTACCAGAACTCCCAGTTATTACTGTTGTTGTTACATACCGTCGAGTCGGACCCGACTCACAGTGATCCCTCCTTGGGTTTCCGAGGCAGTATCACTATGGAAGTAGATTGCCTCATCTTCCTTCTGAGGAGTGGCTGGTGGGTTTGAACCGCCAGCCTTCTGGTTAGCAATCAAGTACCTTAGGCACTGTGCTACCAGAGCTTCCAGTTATTGCTGTAGCACATGCTTATTTTAACAAGCGATACCTGCACAGATTTATAAAGAAAGCATCTTACTCCTGTCTCTTGGGGCGACCAGTGCTCACAGCTTTGTAGATTGTGTCACCCTCTTCTACACACACACACACACACACACACACACACACGCAGGCATGTGCACGTGTGTGGCTTTCCAGACGTGGGCTCATCCCCAGCAGGACTTAGCTTTGTTCTGGGCTCAGAAGAGGCCTGTCAGTGCTCCCAGGGTCGGCTCAGCTTGGGGCTCCGCCTGTGACCTGTGCGTCATATGTTTCCATGGCGACCTCTGCTGGTGATGGCAACCATGCCTTGTGCTAGCCCCTCATCATTGCTGCGGACACTACTGCAGCATGCCCACCCCGCTGCCCTGTGAGTGAGCACACCCTTGCAGCACACCTGCCTCCCCTCTGAGTGTACCCTTCCACAGCACGCCCGCCTCCCCTCTGAATGGGTGTACCCTCATAGCACGCTCGCCTCCCCTCTGAGTGTTTGCCCTGCAGCACGCCCACCTCCCCTATGAGGGAGTGTACCCCCCCACACAGCACACCCGCCTCCCCTCTGAGGGAGTGTACCCTCCACACACAGCATGCCTGACTCCCCTCTGAGGGAGTGTACCCCCTGCAGCACGCCTGCCTCCCCTCTGGGGGAGTGTACCCCCCCCCACAGCACACCCGCCTCCCCTCTGAAGGAGTGTACCCCCACACACAGCACATCCGCCTCCCCTCTGAGGGAGTGTATCCCCCACAGCATGCCTGACTCCCCTCTGAGGGAGTGTACCCCCACACACAGCACGTCCGCCTCCCCTCTGAGGGAGTGTACCCCCACACACAGCACGCCTGCCTCCCCTCTGAGGGAGTGTACCCCCACACACAGCACACCTGCCTCTGCTCTGAGGAGTGTACCCCTGCAGCACGCCCGCCTCCCCTTTGCTGCTGTCTTTTCCCATTGGCCCTTACCATCAGGCCATACTGTGTGGTCCCTGCTGTATCCCCAGGACCAGGATTGGTGCCTGACGGGTAGAAGGCACACAGTAACGGACGAACAATTGAGCAGCCCCCAGCTGAGCTGAAGTCCTCCCTCAGTGGACTGTCAAGCAGGAATGCCCTTGGGCCTCTGATGTTTGACCCACTACCAGTGCCAGCCCCTCCTTGGGCCATATGAGTCACTCCTGCATCTGTGGCAGGGGGCCCTTGGCTGGATGCTGCCCGTGGAGGCTCAGTCCTTGGCGGCTGCCTGCAGACTCGGTCCATGACAGGGTCGCAGCTCAGGTAGGTGGTCAGTGCAGGCTGTCGCCTCAGAGCAGCCTCCCGTGCTCTGGGATTTCAGTCCTGTCGTGAATGTGGCTTCAGTAAGTTTGCGTTGCTTGAGTGACTTGTCTTTCCCTTAACTGTTGTTGTTGTTGTTGTTTGCCGTCGAGTCGGCCCCAACTCATAGCGACCCCTCCTTGGGTTTCCGAGGCAGTATTACTACGGAAGTAGGATTGCCCAACCTTCCTTCCGAGAAGTGGCTGGTGGGTTTGAACCTCCAGCCGTCTGGTTAGCAGGCAAGTGTCTTAGCCACTATGCTACCAGAGCTTAACTGTAGGACTTGTCAAAAGTCAGACACTAGGAAGGGTTTGCCCTTCTTCCGGCATTCGCTTGGTGGTTAAGATTGAATACCAGAGAAACCCAGGTTGCCAGAACTGTCTTCTCTCTCTTTTCAAGAGTGAACTGGAGAAGATCGAAGGACTTTTTTTATTACTGTTTATGGCAAAAGTTCTTTGTTTTATGGTCTAAGTGTGATAGACACATGGTGGCAAAGCAGATAAGAATAGTCCTTATCAGTGCCTCAGGCCATGCTGCCTGTGCTTTGAAAGAGGGTCATGGAGATTTCCTGCTAATGGGATTTCACCCTTCTAAGGGTGCTGCAGGATTAACGGTCTTGGTCTGAACCAGCTCTCCTCTTACGATTGCCTAAGATTTAGAGGGGCCTTTATGGGGGAACAAGCCCGGGGGCCGGTTAGCACAGTGGGATGGGCCTCGTCTATTGGTGGTTCTTAGCTGGTAGCTGGGCCTCCCTGTGCTACGTGCCTCCCTGGGTCAGTGCAGTGCTTTCAGGGCTGAGACCTGCAGAAACCATCAGGTGTCTTGTCACTACTCCATTCTGGACTCGGAGGGACAGTGATCCCCTGCAGTGAGGTTCTGGAGCCAGCCTTCTATGAGTGACGCATTGTGCTTTGGGACTGGATATGTTCCTGCTTTTCTGTTACCAGCAAGTGACCCTCAGATGGGCTGCATTCGTTTCCTCTCCTCCTCCACAGAGAATGAGGCAGTGGCCCTGAGACCTGTGCTGGTCCCATTGGGCCAGAAGCCCTGCTCAGGACCTTTGCTTTGATGAGTCATTCTCTTCTTGGCGCATTAAGTCTATACTAAGCACTTTCTCTATTTTGCTTCAGCTTCGGAGAACCTTACATTTGAAACTTTGTCCGTTAGAATGTGTAGAGCTGTTATTCTCATTCTGGGAGACGATGCTAAGGAAACAATGAGAAGAGATCACATATGTGCAGCTGTCTTACTGAAGCATCAGTTACAGCAGTGAGCAAACTGAGAGTCCAGATGTGTGGCGGAAGATGGTGAAATGGCTTAGTTATTTGACATCTGTGGAAGGTGATGGTATACACTATTCAGATAGTTACAGAGACCATGTGGAGATGTGAAAAATGTTCATTATTGGAAAAGAAAACAAAATATATACCTTTATTGCTGTATGAAATAAGTTATATGTATTGACAAAGAAAACAGATGACTAAAAGTTGCTATGTAGTATTTTCTTAATGTAGAACCTCACGTGTAGAACCTCACGGCATGATTCTAACATTTGCATGGAAGAACAGAAATCACTAAGTTGTCCCTTTAGGACCAGGCAAGAGATTTTCCTGCCAGTTAGCAAACTATGTCAAGTGGTGGCAATTAAGATGGTGTGCTTGGGCACACAGATAGACAAATAGGCCAGTGAAACACAGTTGAGTCCACAGCCAGCTCTCTGAACGTGGAAGTTGGATCCACACAGGCGTTGCGTGGTGCAGGTCCCCGGAGGAAGGGTGGGCTAGGCTGCAGTGGGTGCTGGACGGAGAGTGTTCCTGGACCCTCCATCCGACTGTACACACTCACAGAGCACTTCCTGGGGAGGAAGGAGCGAATGTGAAAGGGAATTCTTGAAATGTGTTAGAATCAGTATAGGTGAGAATCTTTGACCTTTAACTTGTGACCTGAGGAAAGATTTCTTAAAACAGAAAAGCATCATTTGTAAAAGAAAAAGATGAGTAAGTTTGATTACATTAAAATAAACAAATTCTCTTCATTAAAAAATAGCATAAAGTGAATGAAAGTAAAAGCTGTAACCTGGGGGATTTTGCCCTGCATGTAACCGACAGAAGATTTATATCCAGAATAGATGCAGAAGTGTTAATCACTAAGAAAAAGATAAACCAGGAAAAAATGAACAAAAGACAAGAAAGAAGTTTCAGAGAAGAGGAAATAAGAATAGCTTATACAGATATGAAAAAATACTCAACTGAGTAGGAAACAGGAAACTGTAAATAAAACCTTAGCCGAATGCCATTTCACAAACATCGTCAGATTCACAGTTTCTGAAAGGTAGACATTCCGTCCAGGAGATCGTGTGAGGTCAGCTCCCAGGTCGTGACCTGGGAGGATGTCGTCCGTGTAACTCAGGAGACGCCCGAGAATGTGCACGGCTGCATGCTTTCTGATGGCAGAGTACGGAAACCTCGTCCACTCACAGAGGACTGTGACTCATAGCATGTTCGTTCAGCCAGTACTACAGCAGTGAGAGGGATGAATGACAGCCACACATGTCGTGGTCCAGAGGGACCGAGTGAAAGTCACTGATATGTGTGCAGTGATTGCAGGTGTGTGGAACTCACGACCTGGCCCGAAATGTAAACAGATTGTACGGAAGGGAAGGGCAGTGATAACATGGAATTTGGGTGGGTGCTCCTCCGCAGACTCGGGCAGAGAAACAGAGCGCCGGCATGGTTGGAGTGGTTCCCGTAAGCTAGTTGGTGGGATTTGGTGATTATGCTAAAAATTGTACGTACGTCTTCTAAATACTCTCGCACATGTGATTTTAAAATTAAAATGTTTTCCATAAGCAAAAATTACCTGACGTTTATAATTTCTGGCTTTATTTTTCTTCAGCCTAGTTTTCTTAGTTTCCAGCCATTAAATACCCAGACATCCCACTGAAATATGTAAGGCTGCTTTCTGCGTTGCTTCTCAACCCCAGCTGGACATTAAGACAATTGCTGAGTTCTGTTGTAAATAGTGAGAAAGCCCAGCTGGCTTGTTAAGATGGATGTGCTGACCGTGGGGCACAGCTGGGTCAGCCCAGTGTTGCTAGGGGATGCTGGGGGCGGAGGTGTTCATGCATTCGTTTCTGAAGCCCCGAATGAGGCAGAGGGTTGGCAGGATGGTGGAGGTCCTGTGGGGGTCATGCCTTACTGCCAGCCCTCCCACCGCTACTAATAATGTGAGGGCATCGTCTGTTGAGTGATTTCCCATGAGGAGGAGCCCTGGTTGCCATGTTTTAGCGATCAGGATGACAGGAGCTCAGGGTGCCAGTTAGGGGCTGAGCTAGGATGCTCACTTAGGGCGTGTAAACAACCCACCCTTCCTGTTGTGCACACACAGGGGCGTCACTAGGAGTGACTGCACCATCGCCCCACGTCCATCCCATCTGAGTGTTAGCGTGTGGCCCGTAGACAGCAGACGAGAGCAGAAGTCCACGTGCACTCTGAAATGACGGCTTTGTGGTAGGCCGTTACGTGCACTCTCTCTCCGGGGCTCATCTTCACTGCCTCAGCCCTCCACCCCCATAGCTACCTGGTCCATTTCTTAGCCCCCAGCCTCAGAACAGCCCTGGGCTGTCCCAGCTCTCGAAGCAGAGAAAGCACTCTGGGGTGTCGTGGCTGGGCCCTGTGCCACTGGCCTCTCTGGGCCTCCTGCTCCCGGCAGGGCTCCTGCCGTGTCCAAGTCCCTGCACCAGCCACCACTTCTGGCTCGCAGCCCTGCGTGCGTTCTGTTCTCAGCCTGCTTCTCTTCAGCAGACACGGGGCTTCTGCTTCCTCTGGGCCCTGCCCTTTCCAACCCAGAATGCTCCGGGGAGCCTCCTTTTCTTGGGCTTCATGGCCCCATACAGGCCTCCTGAGGTGGTCCCTCTTAGTCAGTTGGCCCCCACTCACTGCTCCCAGAGCCAGTTAACAGGCCAGGCGTCCACTGCTCAGGGCTCCACGCCTCACAAGGTCTGGGTGCTGTGCTCTTCGCCCTACCCACAATTCACCGGGACTTTGACCATGCTGTTACTCCCACTCCTGTGCTGAGGAAACGAGGGTCATTTAGAGTGTAGGGAAGCAGAGCAGTTAGCGCCATTTGAGAACCGCATTGTCCAAGGGGCAGAGAACTTGTTTTCTTTTTGCTGAAAACAAGAAGCAGTGATGACAAACCCAGACCCATTTCTGCCCAGTGTGAGCACTGACTGGATGATGTGGTCGCCAGAGTACATTTAGTCACTGTCCCACAGCGCCCATGACCTTGCAGGCCCTCGTGAGCATGGCTGAGTGGAACGGAGAACGCGTGAGCACCCCTGCCCTGCACGACGCCGTGGAAGCAGCCAGTGTCTCTTTGGGGCAGCTACAGGAGACGGCGCCTCACTGGTTGGGAAGTGGGAATGCACATTGTCAGCCCCTTTCAACAAGCACAGCGCTCCACACCCTCATCCTTCGTAACCCAGGGGTGAAGGTAGTCTCTGAGCGTCCCTGCAGTCTTTGGATCCTGTCCCAGTCTCACCCCCATGGATGGAATGTGTGGAGGACAGGCCTCTGTGTGGCTCATGAGGGTCTCGCAGGGTGCTTGCATGTGCTGTGTGCTACATCCCTGTGGGCTGCAGTGTGGGGAGGAAGATGCCACTGAGGACGGAGCAGACCTGGGGTCGATACGGCATCAAGGGTTCTTCAGTGAATCGAGTGTGTGTTTGTGATTGTCATCCTGCAGGTGGTTAGTTTACAAGCTCGAGTGTGATTTGTTGTTGTTAGGTGCCATCGAGTCATCTTTGACTCGTACCAACCCCGTGTGCAGCAGAATGACGCACCACCGAGTCCCGGGCCAGCCCTGTGATCCCTGCTGCACCTGAGCCCATCACTGCCACCACACTGTCCATCCATCTTGTTGAGGGCCTTCCCCTCTTTCGTTGACCCTCCACTTTACCAAACCCTTCTCTAGGGAGTGGTCTCTTCTTACAGCATGCCAAAGTAGGTGAGGCAAGTCTGGCCATTCTTGCTTCCAAGGAGCATTCTGGCTGCACTTGGTCCAGGACAGATTTGTTAGTTCTTATAGCAGTCCATGGTACTTTTCAGCATTTTTTGCCAACACCCCAATTCAATTGCATTGACTCTTCTTTGTTGTTGTTGTTGTTATGTGCTGTCGAGTCAGCCTCGACTCATAGCGACCCCTCCTTGGGTTTCCGAGGCAGTATCACTACAGAAGTAGGATTGCCCAACCTTCCTTCCGAGGAGTGGCTGGTGGGTTTGAACCGCCAGCTTTCTGGTTAGCAGTCAAATGCCTTAGGCACTTCGCTACCAGAGCTCCTGACTCTTCTTTGGTCTTCCTTATTCATTGTCCAGCTCTCACATGCATATGAGGCAACCAAAAATACCATGGCTTGTGTCAGGCACGTCTTAGTCCTCAAGGAGACATCTTTGCCCTTTCTCCACTGATCGTGATGTTGCTCACTGGTCCAGTTGTGAGGATTTTTGTTTTCTCTGTACTGAGGTATAATCCGTACTGCAGACAGTAGTCTTCAGTCTTCATCAGTGAGTGCTTCCAGTCCTCCCCACTAGTTTGATTCACAAAGTGAGTTTTGGTTTCCATCACTGTTCCCCTGGGATGGACCTTTTCTGGCCCATGATGTTACCTGCTGGCCACCAGGAGGTGCTGTAAGCTAACCTAGCATAATTTATTGACCTGTCAGAGCCCTGGTGGCATAGGGATTGAGTGCTCGCCTGCAAACCAAAAATTTGGTGATTTGAACCCACCAGCCAGCCTCTCTGCAGGGGAAAGATGTGGCAGTCTGGTTCCAAGATTGACAGCCTTGGCAACCCTGGTGCAGTTCCACTCTGTCCTCTGGGGGCGCTGTGGGTCAGAATCCCCTGCAGGGCACTGGGTGGGGTTTGGGCTCTGCTTCCATCAAGATTGACAGCCTTGGGGACCCTCTGGGGCAGTTCTACTCTGTCCTCCGGGGGCGCTGTGAGTCAGAATCCACTCTGGGAATGGGTTTATCCAGGCACTAGTGTAGAATTGGGAACTCTGGTAGCGCAGTGCCTAAGGCATCTGCTAACTAGAAGGCTGGCGGTTCAAACCCACCAGCCACTCCTCAAAAAAAAAGACTGGGCAATCTACTTCTGTAGAGATACTCCCTTGGAAACCTAAGGAGGGGTTGCTATGAGTTGGAGTCGACGTGATGGCAGTGAGTTTGCTTTGGTTTTTAGTGTAGAACTGTTTCCTCTCTTTGCCCTCAGTTACTATGAATGTGACTAAAATGTACTTCATGTACACGGCAAATTCAGTTATTGCAATAACAAGGTTCCAGGGCCTCTGAGCTCTGTGACAGGTACTGTGTTCAAGGTCTCCCCTAGTTAGCTCACGTAATGCTCACAGCAGACTTGGGAGGTGTGAGTAAACACGGGGATGTTTGTGGTCTGCAAGAATGCAGGCAGTTCTAATTGGGTTTGTGCGCTAACTCGTGGCTCTCCCCGCAGACCAGAGTGAACTCGGAGCAGGAACATTTCCTCATCGTGCCTTTTGGACTTCTTTACAGCGAAGTGACTGCCTCCAGCTTGGTAAGAGCAGCCCTCTCGTCTCGGGTAGCGCGTAGGTATGGGTTATGTCCGATAATCAAGCCAGCTTCCCAGTCAGCTCACGTACAAAACCAAGGAAGGGTGGAGAGGCCGTGTTTTTGTGATCAATTCAGTTAGAAACACCTTGGAGAGAAGTTTGAGCGCTTTCAACTGATTTAAGTATTTAAACTGATTCCCGTATTTTCACTGTCACTGTGATGGGAAAACAGAAGATAGCCAGTGCTGGTGAGGGGGTGGGCAAGTTGGAGCCCTTGTCCGCTGCTGGTGGGAGTGCGCAGTGGGAGAGCCCTTGTGGAAGACGGTGGGTGGTTCTTCCAGAGACTGAGAACTGAACCGCCGCACACCCTGGCAGTTCCACTCCTAGGTGCACAGCAGACTTGAAAGCTGAGAGTCCAACAGGGACTTGTCCACCAATACTCATAATAGCCAAAAGGTGGAAGCCACCTAAACACCTGTCACAGGTGAATGGCTAAACAGACTGCGGTGCGTGCACACAGCGGAGTGGTCCCAGCTGGTGGGAGGGATGACGTCTCAGTACGTGCTTCCACAGCGTGGAGCTTCAGTTACGCTGAGGGAGAGGGCAAATGCTGTATGATTTCACCTGTACAGGAAAGTGAGCAGAGGCAGGGAGAGCAGTGGGATCAGTGGCTACGGGGTCATGGGGCAGGAATCCACTGGTGAAGGCCATTGGTGCACAACTGATTGTTATGAGAGCTGTCAACAAGTTGTCCATCTGTAGAAAGTGGAATTGGCAGAAGTTGTGTGATAGATATGTTCACAACAATGACCGAAGCCCAGCAGCTGCTGAGGCTGTTACGTACGGCCAGACACCTCATGGGGCCGGCTTCCTCGGTTTGGAGATCAGGGTCATGGTTCTGTGGGACACTGGTTAATCGGCCTCGGATAGAACGTGTTTAGTCCTTCCCTTCTACCTCACAGTTCCATGCGTAGTTCCTTGGCTCTTAAAGCTCAGGAGCGGCCGTGTAGGGCACACAGTCGGTCGCTGTTTGCCGGGAGCCACAGAGGAAGAAGGAGAAGCAGGACAGGGAGGAGGATGAGGAGTGTGTGGGCTGATGGTCTCTGTGAACAGCTGCCTGCTTGTCAGGAGACCAGAAGGACTGCATGGTGCAAGCACATTGTGATCATTCCGATCACGGATGCTGCAGCAGAATCCTGATCCAAAGAGGGAAAGTCAGGACAGGGTTTCAGAGTCTCCTGGGCCCTCCACGTCTGAACAAGGCCTGGGTGAACCCCTGCGACTGTAGCCTTGAGGAAATCTTTGATGTGAAAATCTTTGAGTATCGCCTGACGTCTTTCTTAAAACTAAGTAGTAGTTTAACTTAACTAATACAAAATGTCTACCTTGAACATTATGGTCTTTCAAAAACTCTGTGAGATCAAAGTGTCAATAGCTGCTCACCAGATGCGACAGGACTCCTTGGGGCAGGGAGGTGACACGAGGAAGAGGAGGGTGGGAATGGTGGCAGCACAGCTCGCGGGATGTGACCACTGCTTCCAAATGGCACGAGTACAAATGCTGGAACTGGTTTATGTTGTGCTGTGTGTGTTCTCAATAACAACAAAATAACATCAAAAACACATGCATTCTGGTTGTGGTCATTTGAAAGCCTCGTGACATTTACACTTTTTGTTTCTTATTTGAAGGTTAAGATCAATCTGCAGGGAGATGTGGTAGACCGTGGGAGCACCAATCTCGGAGTCAACCAGGCCGGCTTCACGCTGCACTCTGCCATCTATGCTGCCCGCCCCGACGTCAAGTGTATCGTTCACATTCATACCCCAGCAGGGGCCGCGGTGAGTGCGCGTCCAGCCTGTGGCAGTGAGTCAGTGAGCTTAGCTCTGTGGCCTTAAAAACAAACATTAAGCAGTAAGTTTGACTTTCTTAAAAGAGTATGTTTTTCTCTTCCTTTTAAGGAGTCCATACGTTATCTGATTTTGGGAAACCTGTGACAATTCTGAAAATGTTCATTAGGTGGAACCATTAGAAAAACGTAGTGTTCTGAGGGTAGAGGGCAGATAGCGGGCTGCTGAGGACTGGTGTGAGGTGCAGAGCGACTCCTCATTGGAGCTGAGGACGGGAAAAGGAGGCACAGGGTGGGGGGCAGGCAGAGGGTGCTGTGGGCTCAGGTTGGGGTTCTCGGGGTCCAGCAGCCTTGAGCCTGCTGGCGGGCTGTGGGAAGGAACTGAGCCAGAGAGGGAGTGCTGAGGCCTGAAAGTCACACAGCAACTGTCCCACCCAGCCCCCCAGACACTGTGTCTGGCACCTGTGGAGCCCAGACTGCCTGGGGAGAGGCAGAAGGGCAGGTTGGGACAGAGGACAGATAGTGCGGGGCCAGACGTTCCGGGAGCCTGCCCCATCCCTGTCCCCAACCCAGGTCCCTTCTGTGGGAATGGGCTGCCACCTCTCAGCATGAAAATGCACATACTGCTAATCGGCACAAAGTCTGGCGAGGGAAAGTTAGAATTCCGCCTCGTGTTGCCAGGCTGCTGTTGTGATGGTTTGTGGGCTCCTCTGTGTGGAGGGCTCCCTCACTGATGGAGGAATGCTGTGTGAGTGTTCTGATACCATTTGTGCTGGACTGTTTGGGTGAGTGTTAGTTCTGCTGTGTGTTGCTTTGAACACACAGTTCCTGCTGTCTACATCAGAGTTAACAGCTGTACCATTCTCTGAATGACATCATGCTTTCTACCGGAATACATGCTGCCCCTTCCACTAAGGAGGCCATGCGTGTTTACAAGCGTCACTGTTGTTAGGTGCCGTGGAGTCAGCTCCAACTCATAGTGACCCTCTGTGCAGCACAATGACCCTGCCCACCGCGGGTGACCTGCTGGTGTCACACCAGAGGCCTGGCCTCCAGCTGACAGCACCACACAGGCCGCCACAGTAGCACAGACTGACAGACAAGTGGTGGGTGGGAGTCACTGGTGAATGGAAATTCAGACAGCTACCGCGCAGTGTGTTTTAAGATTGTCATCTCGGTCTCTGTGCGTGACAGGCGGTTTCTGACAGGAATCCAGGGTGGGGTGGCTCTGCAGATGAACCTTCTCTGTGGAATCGCTGGGCTGTAGGGTTCATTTGACTCCGGGAGCCTGTTAGACCGGGGTCAGATGCTGCTCTCTGGAGAAGGCCTTCAAAATGAACATAGTGTAAGGCCTGGTTGGGGGTTTGGAGGAAACTAAGAGTTACAGGAACACTTAGAATTGTTTTACTATGAGATTCACTTCGACGTAAATAAATGGAGAGAAATTACACAGTATCATTACCATAAACTTTTATAAGTTTGCTTTTATCTAATTTTCTGGAATTTCGGTCTTACCTACAACCGAGATGAACAGTACACCAAGACTTTGCACCCTTTTTGGAAATGTCACAAGTGACTGCTTGTCTTACCATTAAGTCTGAGCTTATGTAGAATTTATAATTAACGTGAAAAAAATCCACAACCATGTGGTTTCCCTTTGGGACTCGCAGCCTTGTGCTCACCTTTGTTTTTAAGTGCGGGTTGCTAGGAGCCCGGGAGGTAACGTTTATCCTAGTAAGTGTGTGGTTTTGTTTGTTTCTTAGAAGAGAACAAACCACCGCCCCTCTTGTAGTTCTCTGAGGAAAGCCTTCACTGTTGTGCCTATGTTAATGGGGCCCACCTCTCTCTAGGTCTCTGCCATGAAGTGTGGCCTCCTGCCCATCTCCCCTGAGGCGCTGGCCCTCGGGGAAGTGGCTTACCACGACTACCACGGGATTCTCTTTGGTGAGGAGGAAAAGGTCTTGATTCAGAAGAATTTGGGACCTCAAAGCAAGGTGGGTGGGTGCCTCGTCAGGTCTTGAACTCACAGAGGGGTCAGCGGCTCAGCTGGCTTCATGAAGCACCTGTGCTGTCCCCTCAGGTCCTCGTCCTCCGGAATCACGGGCTCGTCTCAGTTGGAGAGACCGTGGAGGAAGCCTTCTATTACATTCATAACCTGGTGGTTGCGTGTGAGATCCAGGTAGGTGGCAGCTGCCCTGCTTGGGCTGCAGTGCGTTTAGCTGTCGCTGGGCTTCACGCACGTCTTCGTACGTGTCTTGTGGGGATGAGTCCTGCAGGAATCTGTTTGCCAAAGATCACTCCTGGATTTGGAAATTGATCAGGACAAATGCCATTTCACTGATTTAAGTTGGCAGCAGATGACTGGGTTTTTCATTTCTACTTTTCACTTTCCCACTGCCGTCCATGAGGTCCCTGGTGTGCGCCAGGTTCTGTACCGGCTGTTTTATATGTGCCATATATGTGACATGTTTTGCATGTCATCCCATTGGGCTTGCTTAGAGAAAGCAGGTGGAGCGGAAGAGCCTTGCCCAGCTCACAGCTGGTGACAGCCATGTAGCCAGGCCGCGTGTGTGCCGCCTGCCGTGCCCTGGGTCTGCGGGTGCGAAGTGCCAAGTCTGTGCTTCCCACGTTCTCAGAAGTGCCTATTCCCCCAGATCTTTCTCCAAGTGTGAGCGCCCACTGTTGTGTTCATGTCCAAGACTAACGTTTGACATTGCCCTGCGATCGGTCTGTGGCTGCTCAGCCGCTTGCTGTGTTCTGAGCTCCTGTGGTTGGGCTCTGTGAAGCCCACTCATTCTCCAAGTCCTGGGTTTCTTGGCCTCTGTGAGGAACTCAAGCCACCATATTTCCTGTTTTGGAAAAGGTTCGTACACTGGCCAGCGCGGGAGGCCCGGACAACTTAGTCCTGCTGGATCCTGGGAAGTACAAAGCCAAGGCCCGGTCCCCGGAGTCCCCAGTTGGGGTGGAGGGCACCGGGTCCCCTCCCAGGTGGCAGATCGGGGAGCAGGAGTTTGAAGCCCTCATGCGGATGCTTGATAATCTGGTAAGAATGCGCGCTCACTAACAATAAACATAAATGTGGGTCTCTTCACACCAGTGCAGTGTCACTTCAGGGAAGTCCCCATTGGCTGGTGGGGCCGCGGTGGTCAGGGATCGCGGCAGGAGTGCCAGGTGCTCAGAGTGGCCTGGTGGGTGGAGGTTCGATGGGATGGCCCAGGCAGGCTCTTCCTGGCGCTCCTCCTCCTGTGAGCTCTTTGGACCTTTCACTGCTCTTCTGTTTAAAACTCAAGTGGGGACAGAAGAGAAGAGAGAGCGGGTGCTGTCGGTGTGCTTGGGGAGGTGGGCGGAGGTTGTCGAGATGAGGCTGTAGCCCTGGTTTGATGGCAAACGGGGAGGAGGACGAGGACGCTCATTGCAGACAGTCCCCGTGGGCACAGATCATGCTCCTTGAATGTCAGAAGGCCACCGACCATGGTCACCAGCATTGCGATCAGCCCCATCAGCTGTGCGGTCACGGTGAGCCCCGTGTGCACAGATGATGCTCCTTGAATGTCAGAAGGCCACCGACCGTGGTCACCAGCGTTGCAATCAGCCCGTCAGCTGTGCGGTCACGGTGAGGAGGGTGGAAAGCTGCAGAAAGGACATGGGGTGGCCTTCTTGGACTCCTGTCCTTTCACGAGGGAAGAAAGTCACCAGCAGCAGCCCAAGGCTTATTCCCAAGAGGCCAGACCTACCACCACCCTGCAGCCTTTTTGCCAGTTCTGACACTACCCATCCCAACCTTGGCACTCACTACTCCTCTGCTGTATTTGATTCTTTGTTGCAGTGGCCACCCAGAACTCACAGACTGTCCTCACGATTTTGGGGTTTGTTAGGGAAGTTGTTGTTAGGTGCTGTCGAGTGTTTGGGACGCACAGCAGCCCCCTGTGCAACAGAGTGAACCCTGCCCAGTCCTGTTGCACCCTCCCGGTCCCTGCTGCGCTGGAGCCCATTGTTGCTTAGGGAGGGGAGAGGCTGCAGTTAGGTTGAGGCCAGCACTCCAGGTGCAGTTCTTCAATCAGGACAGCCTCCTCTCAGCCACGCCCTCAGGCGCACCTCTCTCTGGCCCTTGGTCTCTTGGCCTGGCCTCTGCCCTGCTCTGACAGGCGTTGTGGAACTCTTTCAGTTCTGCCAATGGGGGCACCTAGGTGCACCCCATCCCCCCAGCAAGCCGCCTACCCAGAGGCACTTGGCTGTCTCGCTCCATGGACTGGCAAGCCCACCACTGTCTCGTTCTGGTGTCTCGGTCCTGCTGCCTCTCTCGGCACCCTCTCTCTGCCAGTCCCTCTGCTGTTGTCTCAGCACAGGGATCTTGGGTCCAAGGACACGCTCCAGTCCTGGCTTCTCCTTCTGGATGGTGGTGAGACCCCTCTTCTGCCTCTGGGAAGGCTCGTTTTAAGTCTGGGGGACTGAAAAACTGACCAGTCCCCACATTAACATTCCATACACCTTGTTTGCATGGTTCACCCCCTCAAGGGTGCCATGCACCTTATTTTTACTTTATAAGTGAGCCAGCCCGTCTTCTTGGTGGGCCACAAGCACCTCCTATTGCATAGTTCCACTGTCAGACGGTGGGAGTCACAGAGACTAGAAGAGTGCACCAAGTGATGCGCCACGCCAGCACTACAGGGTTGGAGAGGCCCCCACTGTAGACATTTTAACACATGCATCTAGGGGCATGCTAGCTTATTGTCAGAAATCAGCACCCAGGCCCAGTTCTCAGGGCAGAACTGGGTTCAGTGTCAGCTACAAGCCATGCATGAGGTTGCAGGTCTGAGGGTGGCCTTGAATTTGGATTTGACAGCATTGAAAGGGGGAAAGTGAGGAAAAAGCACAGGCCCCTCAGGAGTCAGTGGTGTCTGCCGTCCTTGGGTCTCCCCAACCCGTGGAGAAGCCCCTGAGGCCTGGCTCTGCAACTGCGAGGCGTCTGCTTGGAGAAGGGTGTGCTTCTGAAGACCATCTTCATTCTTGCTCCTCTGGGAAGCACACTTGTTATTGGGACACCCTCATCCCACTAGTGGGACAGGGGCCGGGGCCGCCCTCGTCTCTGTCTGGGGGTCCTTACAGGAAAACAGTACTCCCTGCAATTGTTGACACCTTTTCCGTGTATTGGAGGAGTGACTGGTACTGCAGGTTCCCCGAGAGGACAGCCCCCCAGAGAGGGTAGTGCCTGCAGAGAGGAGATGACTGTTTCTTTAGTGTCCCGGTGGGTAGTGTGGGCCCAGCCCGTTGGAGGCTCCCAGCCGGGTGACCCCTCAAGTTGTCCCTGGTTGTCAAGGTTCTGTGGGTGACGGGGACCCCCAGGAGCCTCCTGGAGAGGACCCTTTGGGGAAAGCGCTGGCGCCCTGCAGCGTGCTAGCACCGCAGACTCGGGCTTCCAGGACCTCTTCACCAGCTCTCCGTCTGGGCCCCACACAGCCGCGTCCTCTGCTCAGGGTTTCAACACTGCTCTCACCAGGAGAGGGCCCACTTGCACGCTCCCCCGGGTTGCTCATTCTCATTCAAGATGGGCATGGCACTGGTCTGTGCCACTCCCCATCTCCTTTGCCGAGTTCCGCCTGGTAGAAGCAGCCGAGGGGTCCCACTGACCCTGTGGGGAGCGGATTACACCCCAGAGGTGGAACCAAGTTGCCCTAATGTTTGTCCGCCAGCCCCACACCCACAGACGCTCAGCACCTGATGGCGTGAACAAGACATGGTGTGCCCCTTAAGGAGGTGGTCTGTGGGGGAAAGGGGCAGATGTGCTGGTTCCATGGGGGCGCTCGGTGCTGGACAGCATGTGAATCTTGGGGCGCGTACTTCAGAGCATCGGTCGTAGTCATGAGACAGAATTGAAGGTTGAACTTGAACATTGGTATGGTCGAGTGTAAAGTAATTTTGCTGGGACCTGATGTCAGGCGACACCCTGGCCAGGTCTTCCCTAGAGATTGTTCCGGTGTTCAGGACTGACTCAGAAGCCAGAAGCATTCAGCACATGGTAGGGTCCGTGTGCCCTGCACTGTAGCCAGCAGCAATAAGCCTGCTTGCGTTTCCCGTTTTAACTTTTGACTGGAAAGTTGTACATGTAGAGGGAAGTGTGCATATCAGAAACATTCAGTTTGTTGAATTTCAGAAACCCAACCCCTGTGTAACCAGCGCCCACATCAGAAAGCAGCACAGCACCTCGGAAGCCCACCCGCCCGTGGGTCACCCGTCCTGCCGTCCACCCGCAGAGACTGCTCGGTCCTGCCTTGCACTTTGTGCATGGAAGCACGGGGTGGGCTCTCCGCTGGGCGCCGTTTCGGGGAGATTCATTCCTATTGCGTGGAGTAGTCACCTGCGTGCATCGCTGTGTCATGTTTTGTTGCAGGAACACACCACGTTTACCTGTTCTGCCGTCAGTGGGCATTTGGGTTCTTTCTGACTTGGGGCTGTTAGGCTGGTGCTGCCAGGCACTCTGGTCGCTGTCTGGTGCCTTGGTGATGTGTGCATTTCTGTTGGTGCCTGCTTAGGGACTTTGGCGACGGCTTCACAGTAGAGCCCAGGGTGAGGTCGGGAGTACTGACTGGCTTTTTCTTTCTCTTTGGCCCTTAGGGTTACAGAACTGGCTACCCGTATCGGTACCCTGCTCTGAGAGAGAAATCTAAAAAGTACAGTGACGCCGAGGCTCCTGCTGGTGTCCCGGGTTCCTCCTTTGCTGGTGACGGTGACTCGGGCACCTGCTCCCCTCTCAGACACAGTTTTCAGAAGCAGCAGCGAGAGAAGACTAGATGGCTGAACTCTGGCCGGGGCACCGACGCCCCTGAGGAAGAGCAGAATGGAAGCAGCCCCAAGTCGAAGACTAAGGTGTGGACGAGCGTTACACACGATCACGTGAAACCCTTGCTGCAGTCTCTCTCGTCCGGTGTCTGCGTGCCAAGCTGTATTACCAACTGCTTGGTCTGTGCCTCCTTACTGTTCATAGTTAGATGACATAGAGCGAGTGGGGTGACTGGGACCTCGGAGGCTTTGGGAGCCCAGCCCTGTAGCCCTGGTCGTTGACCTCCTGTAGTCTGAGCCCAGGCCCACCTCCTCTGTTAGCCACAACTTGATAATACTGTCTGCTTAAAACTGCTTAAGATGGGACGGACCTCCTTGGTCATTCCAGCCTAACCATGTGATGTCAAAAGACTAACTCCCTGGCTGCCCGCATTAAGCTCACAGTAGGCCCTCTGGCTGCATTCGGATTATGTCGAGGGACCTGGCAGTTCATGTGTGAGAAGGCAGTCCCGCCACCGCAGTGCTGTCATCTCGTGGTCCCTTTGGTCCCTGGACCCCGTCTTTAACGCTTCCGTGTGCTCTTAAGCAGTTTTCCCTGATGGCTTTCTGACACGTTCTCTGCTGCCCTGTCCTCTCTCGTGAGCTGTGTCCCCTCCTCCTATCCCAAAGCCTCCGAAGGTCACAGCCAGCTGCCCTCTGCATGGACTGTGCATGTGAGTAGATGGCCATAAGGGGGGCGGTGCCTCGGACCCCCGCTGGGTGCGGCATGACCCAAGTGCAGCGCAGGCCATCGGCAGGGCCCAGGGTGCCCTGTCCTGGTGCTGCTCAGTGCCCGCAGGCCTGAAAGCCGCCGTTACATGGTGCTCAGACGTGGGCGGGGCCTGAGTCTGCCTTACTGTTCTCATGAAGCGGAACCTAGGCCGTGGCAGGCTGCCTGGCCCCTGTGGACAGTGTAGCCCGGAACGGGCTGGGGCCAGTGTTCAGCTGGCAGCAGGTTAGATGTGCCTGTGGCAGCAGACAACTCAAGCAGCAAACTGGGCTTCCTGGGGCCTGGTGACAGCTCTCACTTGACAGGTTGCTTTACCGAAAGCCATTCTGCCCTCCTAGGTGGTTCTGCACACTTGCTGGGGGGCGGAGCCTCCGTGTGCGTAAGCAAGTGTGTCATGCAGGCCGAGGAGCCCGGCGTGAGCTCCACAGGGCTCCGAGTGTGTGAGCGTGCTCTCCCTCCTCTCGCCTGCCCCCTCCTCTCCCCTCCCGCCCTTTCTCCCCGCCCCCTTCCTTTCTTCCTTACTGTTTTTCTTCTTTTTGGTTCACTTGTTTAGTTTTTAGTTATTTTACTTGTTAAAGGAAGAAAGCCTTGAGAACAGGCTGTGCACTGAAGACGTATAAGTGTAACGCCAAGTGGTCGGGATGCGTTCTCCAGGGGGCACAGGCAGCAGCAGCTATACTGCTCAGTTTCTGCTAGCTTGACGAGAAGTTAAGTCTCGGTAGACGTTGTAGTCAGTGCACAGTGAGGGGACCCCGTGCAGCGTGTAGACTTATTCCTGCTGTTCCGGAGTGACGGCGGCCCTCACGGTGTCCAGGTCGGTACGGTAACTTACAATGACTGTTCTTCGTTTCCCAAATGTGTTCAAGCTTCTGAGGCCGTCGTTTCATGTTTTGACTAAAAGTGATTCTTAGTAAAAGGCTGGAGTTGTCTCTATGTGAGAAGATAACCACCAGTGAGTACTCCACGGCTCCACGCCCATTCCATCTTTTCCTTTACGGCGCCTAAGCTTTTCCACTTCTGTTGCTTCTTTGCAGCCTTCGGGTCTATGGCTGTCTAATTGCCTCCTGAACATATTTTGAAAGGCATCCAGCTGCCCTCTCAGACGGGCCTGTTTGCGTGCTCAGTGCCTATTTGTGCCTGAGGGTTAGAATCAGACGCCAAAGCTAGTACTGGATTAGAGACCCAAACACTGTGCGTGTGACCCCAGGGCACCTGTGTGCCCGTAATACGTACTGGCGGTAAAACGGCCTTGAACTGAGGACTTGGGAAGCGCTTTGAGTTTGGCTGGGTGTTTTTGTAACCCTTAAAACGTTCAAGTTATATAAAATATTCCCATCACCAAACTCCGCCCCAGGGAGCTGCTGTGGACGTGTCCTACTGTCATTTTCGTGGGCTGAAATGTTGCCCCAACGAGCGTCCAGTGCCCTGGTGTATTTCCATGCTCCAGCCTGGGGATGCCCCCTTGCCTCCCGGTGCACCTGGGTGGCCACATCCCACCGCTTCCCATGACCCGTCATCTCATGCTTCAGTTTGCTTTGGCGTTGGCTACCTCACCTCTCAGAGCGGTGAACCAATGGTCTCTGGAGGGTCTCCCACCAGCTTCCATGGGAAGCCTGGCCACGCCCACGGCCAGCCTGTGCGTGCTGCAGGTCTCAGCTAGGTGTTGGAAATCACCCTTGCTGGGGGGGGGGTGTCACTGTCCGACTCGCACCGCTAACTGGTTTTGGTGTGGCCCCCGCCCCCTCTTATGGGCACGTTCATTGGTTCAGTTCTCTGTGATGTTCAGTGCATGACAGATGTGACACCCGTGGGTCACTGCCACTGTGTCCCGGTCCTGACTGTCCGCCTGTTCTTGATATTGCAGTGGACTAAGGAGGACGGACACAGAGCCCCCACCTCTGCCGTCCCTAACCTGTTTGTCCCACTGAACACTAACCCCAAAGAGGTCCAGGAAATGAGGAACAAGGTGCGTACTACCACCACCTCTCGGCAGGGGCTCATGGGTGGGGAGGAGGCCTGAACGTTGCTCCCATGCACGGGCAGAGAGGACCTCTCTGTCCCCACCCTTACAGCTGATGTTGGCCCAGGTGCCGCCTCTGCTGCTGGGCTGACCGGCGGGGGGTGGGAGCACTGAGCTCAGCGCGTTCACATGGCGGGCTGCCATCGGGAGCAGAATGACCATTCCTGGCCAGGCAAATGGCCAGCCTCCCTCTTGGGGCTTGTTCAGGGAATTGGGAGCAACAGCTGGTGTGTCAGAACGTGAACCCTGCCAAGAAGTCCAGCTGCTTTGCAACTGTTCCCCACCTCTGCACCAGTGCCACCCTAAGACGGGCACACAGGAACACGCAGGAGGGCCAGCAAACGCGCTGTGTGTGCTACAGAGCTGTCGCGGAGGGGAGGGAGCTCCGAGCAGCCCCCATGGCCCAGCTGCCAGCACTGCTTGCTGCGTGGGCGGGAGGAGCAGAGTGGGCCTGCTCGGAGCCCCAGCACCTGTTCACGCGTCCTCTCCTTCCCCACTCAGATCCGAGAGCAGAACTTGCAGGACATCAAAACGGCAGGCCCACAGTCGCAGGTTTTGTGTGGTGTGGTGATGGACAGGAGCCTCGTCCAGGTGAGCGCTCAGCACGCCTCCGGCGTTAGTGGGTGGTGTGCGCGTGACCGGCTGCCGCGGAGGCCTTCCTCAGTTAGGAGAGTAGCTGTGAGGTGAGTATGCTAGGCAGCCGGTCAGCTTTGTTGACTCCTCACGGTGAGCAAACAGCCCCTCTTCTCTCGGGCCTCGGCCAGCGCCAGCATGCCAAGCGCCCGGTGCCCTCCGGCCTTGCTCCTGCGACGCATGTGGTGGGGGGCGGGGCCTGGGCTTGCCCCGTGTTTGAGCAGGCATCCCGTGTAGCTGCTGGAGAGGGCCGGGGCTGTGGGCTCTGGGTCTTGTAGGAATTGCCTGTCTGTAATCGAGTGCTGCTTGGGAAGCGGGGTGGGAAGGGTTCCTGTCAACCAGGGCTGCATCTCCCTGCATTTCTGTCAAAGGAAGACACCAGTGAGGTGCAGGCAGGAGCTGTGTGCGCAGCCGCTGGGAGGATGGGGCGTGCCTCACGCCTCTAGCATGACCCTGCGGGGCTCCAGGCTAATGGCTGTCTCCCGTCCGGCCCTGTGTTGTGTGCACGCTCCATCGCTCCCACCTGTGGGTGTGTCTCCTGCATGCTCTGAGCTGCCACCATCACGGGCTCTGGGTGGTGTCTCGCAGACGGGCCTGGTTTGCTCTCATGACTCAGTTTACCGTTGCAGGACGCACCCCTCTCTGACTGTACGGAAACTATCGAAGGGCTCGAGCGTACAGAGCAGACCTTTAGTCCCGCTAAGTCTCTGTCTGTTAGAAAGGTACTCACTGTCCCGTCCTTCCTACCTCCCAGTGTGCGATGCCGGGCCAACCCCCACCCCCACTGGCCATTTCTTAGTTACCGAAGTCCCATCAGCAGATCTCCGAGTCCTTGGTGAGAGTGCACAGAGGGTTCTGTTCTGCCCTTTGGTCTCTAGGACGCGTGGTTTCCTGTGGTAGCAGCGCCCGAGCTGTCGCAGAGAGCAGCCCCTCCTGACGCCCTGCATGCCCCCGTGGTCACTGCATGGTTCTGAGTTCCCAGCAGTTTGCCTCTTACGAGATCCTGTGATTTCAGGGGGGCCATTTTGGCAAACCGCCAGCGGTGGGGGCTGCTCCTCCGTGGGCCCGTTCGCCCCTCGCTAGCTCTGGTGTGGACCGTAGGTGGAGGTGGCCACGATGCTGGGTCATCTCATTGGACAAGGTCATTTCTGAATGGCACGGAGAGTAGGACAGTGTCTGCTGGCCCTGGTTGGACATCTGTTTCTTTTACTTTGGAAAGAAACCCTGAATGGTGACAGCTGAACGGCAGGATGAGTACGTTGCGTGTCACAGAACTGCACGTGTGACTGGGGGAGATGACAGACTTTGTTACTTGCACGCTTACCACAGTTTAAAAAAGGCTCCAGTGGACCCAGAGTGTTTGGAGCCATGGGGCTGCATAAACCCCTGAAACTATCACCCCAAGATCATCTTTAAACCTCCAACCAAAAAGTCCCCTGAAGTCTTCTTCAAACTAAGCAATGGTTCAGCTTAAAACACGCCAGCCTTGAGCCTGGTGCCCTTTTAGGAACTCTGTGGGATCAGAGTGACAACACACCTGGAGGGTGAGACGGACCTTAGCTCGCGGCGTCAGGGAAGGACAGCTCAGGGCCAAGCGTGGCGGCCCAGCTCAGAGAGCGGCATGAGCATCACCGGCTGTGTGTGTGCTGCTGTGGGCTTGGTGTGCTGCTTGTGTGTGTTCTCCACGACACCCACACCAATAACACTGTAAACAGAAGAGAGTGGCTGTCAACCCTGCCCCCCCACGGAGAAGCCCTTGAGGCGCAGGGACATAGGAGAGCGAGTACTTGGAAACCCCCTGCAGCCCCTCTCCATGTGCCGTGTGCCTGACATGGGTGACGGGCATCTCTGTTGGCTGGCACATGGCTCCAGGGAAGGGCACCTTCCCTGAGCATTTGCGTTGCCTCCCTGTCCACCTGTACCACCCTGGCGGTGGCAAGGGGCACACTAGCGTGTGTGCAGGCGGGCTGCAGGGCGGGGCTGGCGGCATGGCCTGGAATCCTGGCTGCGGCGCTCTCCTCCCGCACGGGTGGTGTCGGGGCCTCTCGGACTTGGCACACCTCTGTGAGATGCAGGTCTCTGGTGGTGAGGGTCTGGGTGGCAGAGCCCTATGCCGTGGACCCTCGCTTCTGCCTGCAGCCCCCATTCATGATGCTGCGTCACTTGCTAACGCATTGATCCCATTCGGCGGCCCACCTTCCCTGACCTTAGACTCGCCTAAGTCTCCCATTCATGAAAGGGGACAGACACACTCCTTCTCTGTCTGCTGGCTTGTCACGTCACGTGTAGGCCGTTGCTTTCTTGTTAGTGAACGATCCTTTGTCTCAGGCGTGTGATGGTGTCTCTAGGTCGGCACAGGCAGCCTCCGGCTCGGCCGAGGGGAGCAGCGTTGCGGCTGAGTGTGACCGCACCGTGTCTTTGGTTGGTTGCATGTGCTGGCTTTGGCTGGCTCGTGTCAAGGCCGCCGAGAAGCAGCGTGGTGGGACAGGCCTTCACGCTTGCCCAGTGGCGGGTCTGTGCCAGCAGTGGCCAGGCCCCTCGCCCCGGCCCGGGGCCTCTGACGCGCTCCCCCAGCCCGAGCACCTCCGTGTGAGCGATGGGTTCCGTATCTTCAGCAGCATGACCAGAGGGAGCTGACCCCGGTAAAGAGCTGCTGGACTGCACAGGCCCTCAGGCAGACAGGTGGCTGTGCCTGTGTCCCTCGTGCCCACCTGCACCGCTCCGGGCCTGTCCCACCCTCACTGGGCAGGTTTCCTTTTCAGGTGTTTTTCCACCTCTGCTTGTGTGGGCCTCGGGACACCAACATTGTCAGTCCTTGGAAAATGGCCTTGCTCATTGGCTTGGCCACTGAAGGGAACCGTGCTTGTTCAATCCTGAGGAGGCCCCACTTCCCAGAAAGGCCGCTGGTGCACGTGAACTTGGCCGCAGTGGTGGAGCGGGGGGCGGGGCCTTTCCAGAGGACTTGCCCTCCTCCCTTCGGCTGGGCCCTGCGCTCCATCTCAGGAGGAAAAGGAGCCCTCCGCAGGCTCTCGAGTTCCGTTTTGCAGGCCCCAGCAGGTCTCCAAGAGCACTGTGGCTTCCTTCCCTGGCTGCGTGGGGACTGAGCCGTCAGAGCCCGGGCTGTCCTGCTCAGGTCACGAGGGCGCCCCTGACTGCGCCTGTACACACGCGCTTTGCGTCGGGGCCTCAGACGTGGGAAGCCCTGCCGCGTGCAGCCGTGGCCCCTCTTCGGGCACTTGGCTGACGTGAGCTCCTGCTGCGTGCGTGTGGCCCAGGAACAGTGAGGGTTCGCACCAGACTGACTCCTGTTCCGCCCCAGTCCTTCTATCTGCAGGTGAAGAGCCTGGCGTTCAGGAAGGCTGGTGCCCAGCTTCCCCGATGGGGCCCTCAGCCCGCCCAGGCAGCCCCAGCAATGCGTTGCACCGCTCCCGGCCATCTGTCTTATTCGGAGCCTTGGGGGTGACAAGGGGAGGGAGGCGCGGGACCCTGTGGCCTGCCTGGGGGAGGGGCTCCCTTGGGGCCCGCTTTGCTCCTCGAGCACTGCCACCCCTCTTCCTGCAGAGAGTGGGGCTACCCTGTCCCTGTGTGCCTTCTGAGCTGGCCTTTGTGGTCCTCGGCCGAGTCGGGGCTGCAGCCCATGCCAGGAGCCCGGGGCCCTCCCTGCACCTGGATGGGAAGGGCCCGCTTATCCTGTGGGAGAAGTCGGAACCGGGACAGGGTTTTGATGTTGCTCACAACTGGTTCTTGGCATTTTACTCATTTTCAAACTTTGAAATTTGATTTAGGTGAACTTACACATTTCTCTTAGATCTCATATCAGCATCTCATTGTTTTGTTTTTACTTTTATTGCAATTTGGGTGAAAGTTTACAGAGCAGATTCATTTTGCATACAGCAGTTCATACGCATTTTGTTTCATGACACTGACTACAGTCCCCACAACCGAACAGTTCTCCTCCCACTTCCTCCCCATGGTTACCTCTCCCCGTGTCCTCCTTTCCCATGCACTCCTGCCGCGTGAGCCGTCTCCCTGTGCAGACACTGCCCTTCTGATCTCCCATGGCTGAGTGTTCTGAGGAGTGTGTCTACCTGGTGTAAATGTTCACCCTGTACGCCTGTCTGTTGTCTGCCTGGAAGCCACAGGAGTGGGTTCAGTTCCAAGTGTAATGGGTGACTAGGGGCCGTGGTCTTGGACATTTCACTATTTTCTTTCAGACCAGCAAGCCTGGTTTTCTTTATGCTTCTGAGTTTAGTTCCACATTGCTCTCCCACTCTCTGCGGGATCTCCCGCACTGATCCCTCTCGGAGTGGTTGGCAGTGGCAGCCGGGCACTATCTAGTTCTTCTGGTCTCATGGCCATATAGGCTGAGGATCACACGGTCCACTAGTCCCTTGGACTGATTGTTTCCATGCGTCTTTGGTTTGCATTCTTCTTTACTGGGGACGAGGAGAGAGCCATCGCTGCAGCTAGGTGGCCTCTTGAAAGCTTTTCGGGCTCCAGTGGCGACTTCACTGGCAGTGACACACAGACTGAGGTGCAGCGGCCCCTGGGTTTCTGGAACGCCACTGCTCAGAGGCGTCCTTGGCACTGCCCGCCTTGTGCACAGAGGCTGAGCCGAGGCCTGTGGCTTGAGGGGCCCGGCCAGCGCCCCAGCTTATGCAGGCAGGCAAGGATTCGACGTCCTGCTCAGGGAGGCGGGCCTGCTTCTGAAGGAGACGTGCCTCACCGGAGAGGGCTCCCTGACCCCCTGGACCCGTCCCCGAGGCCCTGTGAGCAAGGCTGTGTGCTCAGCAGGCCCTTCGCTGCCCGGGAGCCCCGGCCGCCGGCCCGGCCTGCGGAGCAGCTCCCCAGGAGCCATCTGGTAGTCGCCTCCCTCCCGGAGCCCTGCCTCTGGGGCCACTTGTCACTGAGGGCCAGCTCTGGCGACCGAAGGCCTCTGTCCTCGGCTTGCCTCCTTCGTGTGTGGAGTGCTCGGTGGGTGGGTGGCGTGGTGCCCAGGCCCAAGCCAGCGACTGCGGGGGGCGGGGGGAGTGAGGGGTGAACTGCATCGCCAAGAGCTGCCCGCCCGCCCCTCCACAGCCTGCCCTCCCCAGGCGCCCGCAGCCCCATCCCAGCCCGCCCGCCCCGGCCCGCTTCTCCCTCAGGACTGGGTGTGCCTGCCGTGCGTTGCTTGCTTGCTTGCTTCTTTTATACGAGCTCGGATTTCCAAATTGTTCAGACCTGGTGACATTTTGTCACCTGTAAACACTTGGGGGGACGTTCTTAAACCCTTAGTCACAGAACAGAACTTGTCTGTGTCCCCAGGAGGTGGGCAGACCTCCGAGTGTGGCTACTAGTCAGGAAGCAGGGGCGGCCTTCGTAGACACAATGGGCAGGCCCCCAGGAAGCCCCCCAGGCAGTCTGGCGCCTTGGCTTCTGAGGCCTGAGGCCTGTGGGCCCGTCCCCTCCTGTGCCCTTTGTCTGTAGGGACTGTTTTCACATCTCTGCTCCTGGGCTCCCGAAGGTTCCAGGGAGCCAGAATCCAGGCCTGATGGTCGCAGCCTCCCCACCCCACAGCCAGCCGTGCCCGCAGGGGTCAGAGCCCGAGGGCCCGGCCGCCCGGTGAGCCACGTGCGCTCCGTCCGCAGGGGGAGCTGGTGACCGCCTCTAAGGCCATCATCGAGAAGGAGTTCCAGCCCCACGTGATCGTGAGCACCACAGGCCCCAATCCCTTCACCACACTCACCGACCGCGAGCTGGAGGAATACCGACGGGAGGTGGAGCGGAAGCAGAGAGGCTCGGCAGGTGAGCACGGCTGCCGGCGGGCTCTCCCAGAGGTGGGCACTGGGTGGGCTGGGAACAGTCGGGCATGGCCCGCCATTTTGCACGCAATTTCAAGTGTGTACGGGAGCACCCTCAGATCAGCAAGGTCCAGTCCGTGGGCGGGTGGCCCTGGTTGAAAGGAGTCGCAGATGCCCAGGTAGCTGCCTCTGGAAAGCATTCGGGACGGTCCCCACAGCAGCAGACCTGCCGCCGCAGAACCCGGGGAGGGCAGGCTCCGCGGGGCACCCGTACTGAGCGCAAGCTGGCGGTTCAGCCTGGAAAGACACGGGGGAGGGTGCAGACCGCCTCTTCCTGAAGGTGCCCTTCCTGGGTTGGCAGTGCCAGGGCTGCCCCCAGCCGCCTTGGCTTTACATCTTGTGGCTGCTGGAGAGGACCGTGCAAACACTGTCGTCGAGGTGCTGCCCTGTGTCCCCCGATGCTGCCCACTCCGCCTTCTCCGCAGGCTCCCGCCCCGGGTCCTGAGGAAGGTGGGGCCCGACATCGCAGCCAGCTCTTGGGCCGCAGGCTGCTGGAGGGAGTTTTCGCCTCCTGCCACGTGGCCCTGCTCAGAGCTCAGCCTCTTGAGCGCTCGGCCCTGCTGGGGGCGCGGCCTGGCCGGTGTCTTTGTTATTCCCCAGAGGAGAGGCTAGCACGTTGTGTGTGTTTGAGCTGCTGGTTACATGGAACCCCAGTTCTCGTGCACGTGTGTTTGTGTGTGTATGTGTGTGTGTCTGCCCTTTGAACTCTTTCAATCTCTGGGAAACTTGTTTGTCGTGGTGTGTTTTACAGATAACGTGTAAGACATGTTAGTGCGTGGTGCTAGGGCAGGAGACTGAACAGGGACCAGCGTAACCAAGCTCTGGTCCCGGAGACGCTGGCGGAGGGCGTGCCAGTGGGAGCAGTGTTGAGAGCCCCGCCCTTCACCGCCGCCAGCCCTGCAGCCAGGCTCTGCAGCCAGGGTCTGGTCTTCGTCAGCTTATCTGATTTAGAAACTAAACAAAACCAAGCTCACTGCCGTTGAGTCAGATCTGACTCATAGCGACCCCTCCTTGGGTTTCTGAGGCGGTATTACTATGGAAGTAGATTGCCCAGCCTTCCTTCAGAGGAGTGGTTGGTGTATTTGAACCACCAGTCTCCTGGTTAGCAGTCAAGTGCCTTAGGCACTATGCTACCAGAGTTCCTAAAGATCAGCATTAAAGTACCAACCCTGTGCTGTTGACACAGGGCTTCAGGAGTGGTGAGTGGGTGAGACTGCTCAGTGTGACGGGGCACACTCACGGGCCGCCCAGCCCATCGCACGGCCACTCGAGAACAGGCTCTCTGGATAAGAATGGAAGTTAACGTGGTTCCCACACAGTAACCTGAGATTCACCTCAACCCTCGGGTCCCAGCAGGCTGCCCTTCTCCACTGGGGAGGCGGAGGGGAAAGAGGACGTCTGGCTGCGCGCCCTTGCTGGCCCAGCCCGTCCTCTGGGAGCTCGGCCCCCCGACGGCACCGCTCATGGGCCCCGGGGGACGTGCGCTGGCCCCTGCCGCTGAGGTGATGGTGCTCACGGGCCGTGCCCTCCTCTGTCCTCTCAATGTCTGTGACCTGCCCTCCTCTGTCCTCTCGATGTCTGTGACCTGCCCTCCTCTGTCCTCTCGATGTCTGTGACCTGCCCTCCTCTGTCCTCTCAATGCCTGTGACCTGCCCTCCTCTGTCCTCTCAATGTCTGTGACCTGCAGAACGTCTGGACCAGACGGAGGAGAAGGGGGAGAGCCCACCAGAGCCCGCTGCACCCCAGACGCCCCCCAGCACCCCCGTCAAGCTCGAGGAAGGTGAGCACTGCGGCAGGCGGTGCCTGGGGCCGCGCGCGCGCTCACAGGGACACACACCCTGTGGGGACACACCCTGTGTCCAGCACTAGTCCTGTTAACACGACTGAAGATGTGTGCGACTGAAGGCACATGAGTCTGCCCCGCCTCCTCGGCCCGCGTGCACGGCCTCCTTGGCCTAAGGCAGCACAGATTGCTCAGTGCAATGTCACAATGGGGTGGGCAGCTCCAGGGATCGGGCCCCACGCCACGTTAGACGGCCACCGGCCCGTTGCTTGCACGTTGCTCACACCTCCCTGTGTTCCGACGACACCTCGGGAAGGCTTGATGTCACTTCCTGTGCTGGACCGCCCCAGTGAGAGCCCCGCCTTGTGTCTGCCTCTCCGACCGCCACTGTCTGTGACGCGGTGTGCTCTGGTGTGTCTTGTCCCTTGGTCTGCACACCGGTGTCTCCTTGTCTGTGTGGACGCCCACGGCCCCCTCTCGTCACGTGCTGTGCCCACGCTGTGTGGCGAGGGCCGTGACTGAGTGTGTGGACTCTCTCCCTGTGCTTTTCTCTCCTTGTGGCTGCGCTGTGCACAGGAGGCAGCTGTGTGAAAGAGTACCTGTTACCGTAGTAAGTACCGCCCGCCGCGCGCTCCCACCGGCCCCGCTGCTTTGCCTCATCCTCCTGCCGCTTTGTGTTTCCTGACTTAATTTCCTGCTTATTAAAACCGACACCCCTTTCTTTCCGCCTTCTGAGGGGCTGTCACCCCAGGCCTTGTGCAGGCTCGGCCGCCCTCTGCTTGGGGCACTCTCCATCACTGAAGCTCGGGGTGGCCACGTCTTCTGTTTAGCCTTCGGGGTCCTGCCTTCTTAGTGGGAATGTTTGCCCGGCTGAATCCCCCATCAACCTGAGCGAGGCTCAAAAGGGTAGATCCTGCTGAGGACGTGGCGATGGGGTTGTTAGGACCCTCCCTGAATGGGGGCTGCTCGCCGGGTGAGACCAAGCCCAGCCTTCCGGAGCACCCGCAGGCAGCCTCTGCCCTGGTGCCAGCCGCAGCTCGGCACAGCGGGCGCTCACGCCTCAGGCCCTTCCCCGGAGGGTCCTCTGGAGCCGAGCGGCCCCAGGGGCTCAATCCCAGCACCAGGGCTTGGGGAGCAGACCTCCTGGAGCCGCTCCTCACCCGCAAGCGGCCCGGCCCCAGCGTGGCCCGTGGCTCGCCGGATGTAGACGTCCCGAACGGCGTTCACTAACATGCCAGGCACTGGCAGCTCTGTGGGCCGTTGAAAAAGCCGGCAGAGAACTCGGGTGAGAGTGTCC